GTGCAACACCTTAACAATCAAATTAATGTTTAAGGATTTATTTCACGCGTAGAGAGGCGCGGAAAGCAATTAAAGCGGCATGCGCCGCACCGGTCGCCAATTTGTACAGTTTACGTCGTTACGAACGAATAAATCCCGGGGCCCAGGCTGTCGTTACTGCGAAGATTAGATTAACTGTCTCTTCATTTCGAGCGGAGACAGTTATTACCGCCGCAGGGCGTCTCATGTCGAGAATAATCGTCCGATCGCACTGGGTTCTTGTCTATAAACGTGCCGCAGGGTGGAAACTTCTCGCGCCTCGAATGCGCGCCGAAGCTTACGGGCTTTATAGCTTACGATTAAAAGCGATGCTGTTTTCGAGTCGTGTCTGTATATCGTTTCTCGATAGAGCACGCAAACGACGTTAGATGCGAATGTGACTAACAGAGGCGTCGTCTATCTGCACGCTGCAGATGGGTACTAATTTCATACCAAGTATGTAGGATCAGCTGTTCTCCGAATGCCATTATGTCAAATACTCAAATACCTGAGAAATTATCGCATAATTGAAAGCAATATAAAAAATTTAATCAATCGATCTAATAGTTTCGAGATTTCTGATTTTTTCGTTTATATTAACTAGTAAAAATACCAAGTATGTAGGATCAGCTGTTCTCCGAATGCCATTATGTCAAATACTCAAATACCTGAGAAATTATCGCATAATTGAAAGCAATATTAAAAAATTTAATCAACCAATCTAATAGTTTCGAGATTTCTGACTTTTCGTTTATATTAACTAGTAAAAATACCAAGTATGTAGGATCAGCTGTTCTCCGAATGCCATTATGTCAAATACTCAAATACCTGAGAAATTATCGCATAATTGAAAGCAATATTAAAAAATTTAATCAACCAATCTAATAGTTTCGAGATTTCTGATTTTTTCGTTTATATTAACTAGTAAAAAATTAATTATATGCTTAAAATTAGAGTGAGAGAGACAATGTAAAAAATAATGATTAAAACGAATTCTACATTTTTGATATTCGCATAATGCTTTAAACTTTCAAATATTAGTATTGGAGTATTATCCGTGACTTGGAACGACGAAAGAGTATCCGGATGCGATATACATACGAAGATATACGATAAGACACGGCATTCCATATTGGCAGCACTATTGTATACTTTTGGCGTGCGGCGTTCATGTCTCTATTAAGCGCTGTCTCCAATCCTTTATTTGCAGTCGATCGTCAATTCGCGATTGCGCCAAAGGGATTGGCTCTCAGAGGCGATCGCGATCGATTCGCGGATATATTTGAGAATTGTTTTAAAACTGCAGTACTTTTTTTTTCACGTGTCTTCCTATCGATACTGTGTCGCGCAAGCTTGTTCCCGGAGCAATTTTCAGCACGATTTTTGTACGCAAATCGATGATTAATTAAAGGGACGTATCTGCGAGAACCCTCTCTCTCTCTCTTTCCTCTTCTCTTGATGCACTCGTCAGCGGGAAATCGCGGCGTCGCGTGCGCGTGTGACTTCTTATCATCGGCGCGTTCAATGCATAAAGCATAAAGTTCGTATCTCATGCATACATTCATAGAGCCGTCGGTGCGGCAACGATGGCGGGAGCGAGACGAAAGTCATAACTTACGGTACGACCCATACCTCTCGTTCTCCCATCCCATCCCTCCCCGTACACCCCCGCAACCATCGCTGCGAGAGGTATCGAAACACCCGCAAAATCACCGAAGGGTAACTATGGCACGTATGACGGCTGGCACTCCTCGCGCATGTTCTTGGTTGGCGCTCAAAATTCCATTTTCCCATACGAGAAAAATTTCATTTTTCCATTGGGCCTTTCCTCTCTCTCTCTCTCTCTCTCGTTCTCCATCGATTCATTGAAAAATAGTCCACTTACCGCGGCCTCTTTTTGCAATAAATCAATCGCGCCTTTCCGACTGTACCCCATAATCCCCTTCTGCTCCTCCCTTCTTCCATCTTTCATTTTTCTTCGACGTAACTTTCTTCCTTCGGACTCGCCTCGATGCACCGGCCGAGGGTTGGATTGTCTTCCGAGATGACTGCTGACAAATAGCGAATCGATCGTCGCAACCACCGCGGCCGCGGTCTCCTCCTCCGCCACCACCCATCGGCAGTTATGCCATAAAGCTGCCGCAACAAAGCGCTGTTTTGATGCTTTATGGGCATCGCAGGCCGTTGGCGGGATGACGTTGTCGGGATGGATGTGCGCGGCACGGCGGCTTGGATTGGCCGCGAGAGAACGATGTTCGTTTAGGGGATGAAGCGGCGGACGCGTCGCGTTTTCATGCAAACTCGACAGCGGATTTCGTTCGCGTGCATAGGACGCACAATAGAATTTTAAAGGCCTACTAAAAATTGAGGTTTTCCTTGTCAATCTTGGAATATCACGCCCGTGCAATTGACTGACATGTACAACATCTATACCGACATATCACTTATTCTAAAACTTATATCTCAATTTATTACAACATTTTTTACATACACATTTTTTTTACAATTTCTACACTATAAAAAGTATTCGCGAAAAAATGGATGTAGACTGAAAATGCAGTTTTGCATTCTCGATTTCTAGATTGAGAAATTAAGATAAAAGAAAATATATAGATTCTTATACTTGTTTCAATTAATTATTATCTAAATGTATTAAAACTTTTTTTATAATTTTTTGAGAATTTCTACATTCAATAGGATCCGCGAAAAAAATGTGTGTAGACTGATAATGCAAAAGTAACGTAAATTTTTCTTTAATGAATGTACATATATTTTTTTGTTATAAAAGGATTATATAAGAAGATTTCTATAGTTAATTTAAAACAATATTCCTGATACTTGCATTCTTGGTTTGTAGATTAAGAAATTAAGATAAAGGGAAATATATGAATACTTATTCTTGTTTGACAGAAGTATTACCTAAATAAAGTTATTAGTAAAAGGTGAGTTTGTGACCGAGAAGATGAAGATTGATACATTTGTTTTTGCATCATTCTGATTGCGCGAGTTTTGTAAAAGTTGCTACTTGATGCAGAAGACTCACACTAGATCGTAGATTGATTTGCGTTTGGGAGAGCAGGTGCGGTTCGTGTGGGATCGATGGCCGCGTCGACACTTTCTTTCATCACGTGACACGCGAGAGAATAAAAATTCCTCATTCGCGGTTTTATCGACATCGCGGAATGAATCGGCGGATGTTCCGTCGATGAGAAAAAAACGTGCTAGTGCTGCGGAAAGAAACAGAACAGTTACATTGTCTGGTATAACAGCAAAAATTTCGTGAAAAAAAAAATATGCAAAAAACTCATTTCTTTACTATCAAAATTAATATTCAGATATTTTATATTGTACATCAAAATATATCAATGTTTATCATTTAAATTGATTTGACAAGCGCGTTAATATTGAATATATTTGCAAAAGGAAGAATTTCTTTAATTTTCTAATTTTCGGTTACATATATATGTGTGTGCAATTGTTTAATGTACATATTACTAAACAGAGTTTTGTTACAAAATTGGAAAAGTTTAAGACACGACATTAAAGTTATTCGACGTGGCGTTTACTTTTCCAACCTAGTGTTTGAAAAGTTCAAACAAGGAGTAATCTGATAAAGGAAACTGCGGATTGTAGCATCATTCGACATCTACCTTGGAAAATACAGCTATGTTGCTTTGAAATGCAATGAAGATTAAGTGCATCTTACTTTGCAGGAAATCTGTGCCTTCCTGAAAACTTATTATTCCGCTTGCACTATATATTTGTCGTGATTTCTCTTCTTGATAAAATAGACACATTTCTCCTTCAATATTTTTTGAAACATTTTTATCTACGCTATCTCAATGAAAAACGCATGCAACTTACTTACTCTTACATTTTCTAATTATATTTCTTTATAGTTTCTTAAATGGAATTATTATATCGCGTGTGTATTATCGTTAATGAACATTAGTTTTATTTAATTATAAGTAAATTTCATTACAATGAAATCTCACGGAGAAGATAATTTTTTCTTTTTAATTTTCCTTGATTTAGAGTTTAAGAAACCAGATCCTTATATCTGTTTCATCTTTTGTTTCGGAGAACCTCTCCAATTCTTTTGTCATCTTTTTATTTCTTTAGAGTCGGGAATTTCCAAGAATCAGGCGATAGACATACTTTTCGCTGATAAATCCTTATGCTTCAGTGTTTACATGCGTCTGATCATTAGAGTCGAATCGCGTGCGTACGCGATGCCTTCGCGATTTTCCACGGCATCGAAATAACGAGGGATGTCTGTCTCTCGGCGTAACTCTAATTGGTGATAGGATAACTATCACGAGATGATCATTAATTACAGTTGGCGAGCCTCTGGCGTTGCGGTTAGTTTGCTTCGAAGCCAGTTTCGACCTTTCTCACACTCGTATCTCTTTCTCTCTTCCTCTCCATTTCCTGCTATTCTCACTCTCCTCTGCTCCCTTTTTTTTCACAAATCCTTTCTGCAACGTCGAGGGTATCGAAAGAGTTAAGATGAAATAATTAAAATTGACGGGCTCTTTTTCTCTCTTTTATTAAGAAAAAAAGCGACGCAAATTATAGAGGAAAATAAATTTCTCGTGGCGAATCGCTGAGTCAGTTTTTCACGATCGTCGAACTAGCATACTCATCACCGTACAATCATGACCAATTTGCGCAAGGTACAAAGTCAATTAAATGAGATTGGTTCTTTCTGGTGCAGCGAAATGTAGCCGAGAGAAATATTGCGGTGATGATTATTGCATTTCTCGATAATGCGATATTTATTTGTAGCATTTGCTTTGCAAACAAATACGAATATAAACATGTCGAAACATAGCCCGAGGTTATTCAGTTATTCAGATTCTTTTAATTTGCTGTTAAATATAAATAACATAACTTTTATATTTCATGTGTGAATTTTAGATATATCAATACGATGAGAGTTTTTATCTTTATTGACAAATACTCTTGTTGTATGCTTTTAGATCGCCGAACTGGTGTCCCAAGGATTCATCAGAAAACTGATCGACTCTCATGGCAGCGCGGAAACTCGCAGCCCTCTTTGCCGCGGTCCTGCAACTTTGCTTATGTGAGTGAGTCTCCCTTTCTCCCCATATTTGCGCACCGGAATCTTCATAATCCGTTTATCAGAGTTAGGTATTGTTTGAGACGCGGTGACGTAACGACGCACGTTAAACATATATAGAATGCAAGAGAATTCGCACAAAGTTCAAGCTTTGTACAAGTATAAGCTTTACAAGATATTAATCATTATCTTTTCTAGCACCATATACACATTTTTATTTTTCAACGTGTGTCTACAATTCACATTCGACACATATATAGATCAATTAATAGACAAATTTTAAAAAGTTAGATGAAAAATGCTATTTCAATATCTTGTCTCGAACGAACCATTTTTAATCGCGTTCTTATTCTTCTCGATTCTCTCGTAATGTTATCCAGACGTCGCGGTTATTTCGGGAGATTCATGAGAGGATCTCATAATTCGATGAAAGAACCGGGAAGAAAGCAAAATTGACTGTCGTGACAGCGAGAAAGCTGCGTCACACTCTCGTGACGAGAGGCAGGACGAGATTGAAGAATCAGGAAAAAGAATAAATCGAAAGAAAACGATCGCGCGTACAAGCATCGTTCTCTCAAGCGCATGACTTTCATGAGGAAGTCACGAAAATTCTCTCAATGTCGTACAACAACTTTCCTTCCCGCGATATTGTTTGGTCTGACGACACAGCGAGTATATGCTGAACCGCACACGTTACATCGAAGCGGAAATAATGCTCGAATTTTTGTCGCGGAATACGATGTAAATATGAAGATAGTTGCGGTTCTCGATATAAACCGGGGAAAAAGAAACAGTATTATATGTGATACTCTATAGAATGTTTACCACGTGAACCATCGACAATTTCTATCATCTATGCGTCTCTCGAATAAAAACGAGATGAATAAAATAACAATATTTACAACATTAATTCAAAAATTATAGATTTTCTGAAATGCTCTGATACACATTTTCCTCAACAAATATCATCATTTTATACAAATTTAAATTTCTTAAACATAATAATGTCGAGACTTTAATAGTGTATGAAATCGTTTTCATCTGGCTTGCGAGACTCAAACGCGCCAAAGCCTCCTTACATACGTGTTACGAGGCAAATCCTATGCAATTCATTTTGAGGCCCTTTTATACGGCCGGCCTTAGGCCCGAGGCAGGCGAGTAATCCGCCATTCTCCGGCCGTGAGCTTTGCTCGAAGTCAACGAGAAGTTCCGCTGTAAGCCGCGGCCGTAAGACGCAACGGATGTTACCTCGTCGGCTCGGCCGCGCGTTCTCGCCCGCTCTGAATCTCTTAGCCCCGGTTATATCCGCGCTGCGGTACGGCACGGCGCCGCAACGCAGCGCCGTACCGCCTCTACGAGGACGATACATCGTCGGGGGTAGACGGTGGCGCGAGGGAGTTTGTAGAATCCACTTAAATCCACCGTGATTTACTCGGGCACACCGCCTCCTTCCACAGCGGGATGCAGCAATAAGTAATCGAGCCTCGGGATTTTCTGGCCGATGGGAAACATTAGGGATTCGTCAGCCGAGGGTTAAGCGACTCTTAAATACATAATGCATCGTATTATATACTTCTCTTTTTTTTTTAAAGAAATTTTGATTAATTTAATGTGTCGCTTAATGTATACTGTAAGATTCATCTCTTCTTATTGCTCTCTTATTTATTTTTTTTAATTATTCAAACAATTCTTTTCCTCTCCGGCTCGTTGTTCCACAAGACAGTGCTGCAAGTTTCTAAAGCGAAAGAATTGCAGATAGAAATCGCAGAATTTCTTTGACTGAGCCTTTCTAAGTTGATTATATAATAGTGTATATACGGGGGCAAAAACTCTCTCTCTCCGTGAGTATTATAGCGCCGACTCTTTTGTTCGTCGAGAATTAAAAAGGAGGAGTCGCTTGAGGAGATTAGACGAGGCAGTAATTAATTTTGGCGCGGTACTTCTTATTTTTAACCGGCGGTCTTATTATTGCTCCGCCGCTTTCTTTATTTCACTTCCGATACTTTGTTCCGTCCTCCGAGGGCAAAATCGTACGAAATGGTGTAATGGTATTTCTTTGAATCGGGGGAATTTACGGGATTTTCGTGCGGAATGCGTTTCAGCTCTGTCTGCGTAAGTTCTGCATCACACAACGAGATATATATACATATACATATAGATATACAATATAAATATATATATACACAAATATAGCTCTATATATATATATTTCTTTAACACACAATGTAAATAATGCAACCATTTTTCTATATATGCACATCTCGACAGAGAACTCGACGCGACGTCGTTACGTTTTCCAGTTTTTCCCGATTTACTTTATTACCTACATTTTTTGCATATGAAAACGATAATTAACGACACATCGTACTGAAAACGCGAATATGCCATAAAAAATGCGGCAGATGCGACAGTTTCGCATGTTAGTAAATTTTATTACGCTTTAACGTAATAATTACAAATGCGAGCATTAATATACTCGCTTAATGATAGGATCTGTAATTGTGATATTTCCTTCTGCATACATATCAAAAAATATTATTTTACAATTCTAATACGCTTCTTTCTTAATTTCAAGATGTTCTTGATATATTCCATTTGTCTTTAAAAATGAAATTTTTATATTTATATTTATTAATGAATCAATTATGCGAGTCAAAACGAAACAGATTAATATTATTAATATTTTCACGATTGAGTAATAAAGAGAAAAATTGATATATATATATATATATATATATATATATATATATATATATATATATCTGTCAATACTCTCTTCTGCTTTTAAATCGCACGTTACTTGATTATTTTTATTTTAATATATAAACTTAATTTTATGGAAACTTTTTTATATATTTTCAACGTATGTCAGAAACGATATCTACATTTTAACTAAGAGAGAAGCTTCAATTTATTTCATGATAAATTCATTGAAAGATAGATCTGCTTTTTTTGTGTATCCAGCGTTTGATATATAAAAATGCCATTTTGTCATTTAGAGTGTATAATTTTTGCTTTTGCGATAATGCACAAAATATTATTTATATTTTTTCTATTTAAATTCTTATATTTATTAAAGTCCTTTCTTCTAAAAAACCCGATATAAATATCAAGCCTGTACTTAAATATCTGCCAAAACTTCTCGGTGAGAAAATCGCAACCGTGTTCGTATCCTTGTCAATGATCGACTTTCGCGTTACGCGTTTCCCGGCAAGATTTACGAGCTCCTTGAGTTTGCAAAAATCTTTTATATCGGCTTTCGGCTTCGGTTAGGTTCTTCTCACGAAAAGGGCACCAGCTTCGATCCGCTCCATCTTCATCGGCGGCCCCGACGACGCTGATGACACGCGGGAGAGAGTGCCAGCTTCCATTTTCAATATCGCGTCGACAGCCCACCTTCACGATCCTCGTCTTCATGGCGCAGATTCCGCGAGTCTCGAGTGTATGTCACTGTTCGCGACGTTATCAGCGATTCGCCGGTTGCCGTATCGATTTCTATATGCGGATATACCTATTGAAATGCAATAAGCTGGATCGAAGTCAAATATATCTAAACCGTTGCGTCGCTAGAAAAGATACATTGTCTCGTCGTTCGATTCACTCTCTTGTAGCCAGAAGCGTTTATATTATTCTACACAATCATTATTTACCATTGTGAGAAATATATTTTTAATTTATAATATATGTTATCTTTAGTTTGTTTATTATATTTGTATAAAAAATTATAAAATGTTTATAAAAATTATAAACACACACAAGAATTAATAGATTATCTCTCTAGCCACTAACTCTTTAAAAAAAAATATTTCAATAAATGATACTTTGATAGAGATATGCCGACTTTTATTAAAAATACTATGTAGGATTGAATCAATTTCGTTTACATAAATTTTTCTCTGAATTTATCGATGATACATCCGCACATATTGCAGTCCAATATGTTGTCTGTAATTGAATGTTGCGAGACACGTAACTCTCATAAAACAGCAGCGCGATAAGTTACGCGCATAAACATCGGGCGTTTTCATTACGGAAGTTTTACTTGTTATCAAGTTCAACTTGTTTTCGAGCGTTCAAAGAAGCATAACTTATAAAAAAATAAAAATAAATAATAAGTAAATATTTTTTCTCAAAACACAGGAGACGATTTAGTTTTATATTAAATTCTTATTTTCTAAATGATAACACACATTTTTTATTAGGCTGTTACAAATGTAGAATAGAGCGCGCAGCATCGACATATCCAGTGTTGTGCTTAAATGATTTTAAAATTAGCTAGATAAAGATGAGATAAAAATATGTAAATTTATCTTAGGTAAGATGAAAAAGATTTCGTTTTAAATATATCTAGGTAAAAGGTAAAATTATATGGCGATTCATCTCGATAACTTCTAGATAATATTATTTTTAAGACCGCTATGACTCTAAATCAAATTATCTGAACATTATTCTAGGTAATTTAATAAAGATAACATTTTTATTGTCTATATAAAGATAAAATGACGCCACACAAAACTTCATCTATATTTATATAATATTTTATTTAGATAACAGCAAACACACTGGACATATCTAATTTTCTAATATTCGCAACGAACACGCCAAGATATGGAATATATTCTCTACGTAACGTGTCTCATCACGACGACGACGCCATCGTCGAAGTTCGCGGGAGACGCATGTAATCCGTGTAATCCGTCAAGCAGGTGGACGTAACTGGTGCCGTACGATATGGGCAAAGTTTGTCGCGGACCGTCCGACACCGGCCGGCACCGGAATAATTGAAAATGTCATGACAATTGCACTGAATGCCGCCGCTGTAACTCCGTTGACTAATGCAAATGGGTATATTCAAATTCTATCAGAGAATTAATAATTCGCCCGTATCGACCGGCGGCGACGCGCAATACCAACATATCATCTTGTCAAACTTAACAAGGACGACGTTATATATACGTTCAGGTTATTAATACCATCATCAAACTTAGAAACATTTTCGATTC